TAGCATTTGTAACCCCATTGGGATTATATGAGTTCAAGGTTCTTCCTTTTGGACTCGCAAATGCACCAGCGATATTTCAGTAGACGATGCACTATATATTTAGTGACCAAATTAGCAAACACGTTTTGATACATTTGTATGATATCCTCGTGTTTAGCCAAATTGCTGATGAGCCCCTACAACACCTTAAATAGGTATTAGAGGTGTGGCAGCAACAGAAATTATATTGCTGGTTACATAAGTGCCAATTCAATAAGGAGGAGATCTCCTACTTGGGATATATTGTATCTCAAGAGGGCATTCGGCCAGACTCGGAAGGGATTAGGAAGGTGAAGAGCTGGCCTATACCACAGTGCGTAAAGCACATTTAGTAGTTTTTAGGACTGACAAATTACTTTCAAATGTTCATTCAAAGTTGTTCAAAGATGGCCACTCCCTTGACGGACTTGACCAAGAAGAATAGCAAATAGGAGTGGACAGCAGAATGTCAATCGACATTTGAGCATATAAAAGAGTGTTTAATGACAGCTGCATTGCTCAAAATACCAGATCCCAGCAGGCCGTTTGAGGTCATTGCAGATGCATCCCAGATTACCGTGGGAGTGGTTCTTATGCAAGATAATCACTCCATTTGTTATGCAAGCAGAAAGTTCCTCCCCGTAGAGCTGAACTCTAGCATGACAAACCAGGAAGCATTAGCTTCTGTGCATGCTGTCCAGTTGTGGAGGTGTTACTTGGAAGGTACATATTTCAAACTGGTTATGGATCATTGCCCATTGACATGTTTTAAATCACAACTGCAGTTAAGCAGGCGACAAGCCAAATGGTTTGAAATATTGCAGCAATTTGACTTCGATTGGGAAAAATGCCCAGGGTGAAAGAGTGTGGCTAATCCACTCTCTCGCATTCCTCCATCACCTGATGAACATGAGGCTAGGAGGAGAAGTCAACTAGCTGTCTGTGGCTGAAGGGCAATATGCAAACGGGGTAAAGACAAAAAAGTCTAAAAGGATGATAGAGGCAGAGGATCTAGCCTTGAAAATCTGTCAAGCATATGGTCATGACCCCCAACTTGAGTCTGTAAAATAGCGACAAGAGTTGTGTTGTATAGATGGCCTCTAGCTGAGAGGTGAGCAAGTATATATACTAGCAAGTCTACGGATTGAAATTTTCCAATTGGCACATGAACATCCAAGTGCTGGATATTTGGTCAAGCCAAAACCCTGGACTTAGTCCAGCGGTATTACTGGTGGCCAAGAATATGGCAAGAGGTGTAACAACATGTTGACACCTGCCTGGTTTGTTAACAGGCAAAATATTCTTGTCAAAAGACACTGAGCTTATTACAGCCACTGGGCATTCTTGAGGAACCGTGGACTGAATTGTTTATAGATTTTATTATGCAACTGCCAAAAACTAAGGGTGGTCATGATTCCATCATCGTGTTTGTCAATAGGTTGACCAAAATGATGTGCATTGCTACCACCATGATTGAAGTCTCCACAGAAGGAGCAGCAGACCTATTGGTGCAAAATGTGATAAGACACCACAGTTTCCCGTTTATGATAGTGTCTAACAGAGATATTCAATTCACTTCCAGGTTTTACTGGTACCTAGCAGAGAGGTGGGAAATACAGCTCAACATGAGCACTACATATCATCCTAAAATGGATGGCCAGACCAAAGTCATGAATCGTATTTTGGAGGATTACTTTTGTAGTTATACATTGTCTAATCAGAACATGTGGGATGAACTAAGCCATGGCCGAGTTTGCAATGAACAACTCAAAGAACAGTTCAACCCAAGAGACCCCATTCTATTTGAACTATGGTTGATGCCCCAAGAGTCCCTTAGGTCTTGGGGTGCAAATTCAGAAGCCATTGAGGGGCTATGACAATCCGAATGCTCGCAACTTGGTAGTGCCTATTGATAGAGCACAACAACCTTGTTTAAGGCATACTAGTACACCCCTTGTGGAAAGGTTACCAACAATGACACGATTTGATCACCATGTTCAAATAGCATTGAAAGAGGCCAGGGTGTGCTTAGAGAAAGCATGGAATAGGTAGTGAAACGTGCTGACCACCATTGCAGGGACGTGCCATTTGATAAAGAAGATGATGTCCTCCTTTCGACACAGCATGTTACCCTCGAGCACCCTGGACCTTAGAAATTATTGCCGAAGTGGATTGGGCCATTCTGTTACGCGCACCGGTCTGATGTGGGGGACGCCCTACTAATGGCCCTTGGTGGGGGGGACGCCCTGCCCAAGATAACTATCCTCAACCCATGGTAAACATTCTAGGTATTAGGATACGGGAGTAGGAGGGGTGGTCCCGCCTAGGTCCCCATAAGGACCTAGGTGCCCGGCGAGGCAGGTCCGCGGCTCAAAGAGGGCAGGAACCCCACACCCACATGCTTTGCGTACCACCTTCACCATTCTCGATCAGATAGGTTTTGTTGCATATCGGCTAGAACTCCCGGAAAGCAAGAGTAAGATACATCCAGTTTTCCATGTATCGAAGCTCAAGCCTTACAAGGCTAGTGGCAGAGTACAACCACCACTTGTCCCTATCGATATTAAGGGGGAAACTGGGTTACGAGGTCGAAAGCATCGGATGCTTAGCATCCTTGATAAAAGAATTAAAAAGCATGGCCATAGACAGGACTCTATAGAATACCTTGTCAAATGGCTAGGTTACGGCCATGAATATAACAGTTGGGAAACAACATGAGCAGTTGCTGATGCACAAGAATTCGTTCAAGCATTTGAGAATAGCAAAACTCTTGTTGCTAATGTGCAAATTGGTTATAGTACGGGATGTACACGCTGATGTGAGTATACTTGTTCTCTTATGTGTGACAGGCACTTCTGCGGCGGGCACAAAAGAACACTAGTTACCAAGGAAACCGGTCTCATTCATAGTTCGGATATATGAACGCCATGTCCATCGCCATCGTGAGTGGCGAGAGGATACAAAGTGATGGCCCATTGTGTGTCGGCCATGGCCCGTGAGCGTGGTAGAGGCAGAGACCCGGGTTACACCCAGAGGGGTCGGGGTCGCAGATGGATAGTCCGAGGCAGTCGTATGGGGGGACATGCAAGGTGATCTCTGTATGTCATGAACATTCCTTGGATGTGTGCAGGCTGGGAGGCCATAGAATAGAGTTGTGCATTATAGAGTAACAATAATTTTCAAGCCCGTAAGCTAAAGGAAGAGTTTTAATAAGGGTTGTAAGTAAGGAACACTCTCCATGTAACAACCACTCTTTCTCTTCAAAGTACGTGTTGTTAATTGAACGTGGTCAACTAGGTATGTGATGAAACACAACCCGTTCCCACATACGGCTAGCTTCTTATCTACGTATACATCTACTCCCATATCTGCGCACTGGGACGGGGATGTCCCACCTCCCTGAGGGGGACGAATGTTATGCACATAGGCATGATGTGGGGGACGCTCTATTAATGGTCTCTTGGTGGGGGGGACGCCCTACCCAAGATACAGTAACAAATCCCGAACCGGACCTTATACTAGTATACGATATGGAAGTAGGTCGGGGTGGTCCCGCCTAGGTCCCCGTAAGGACCTAGATGCCCAGTGAGGCGGGTTCGTGGTTTAAAGAGGGCAGGCGCCCCATACCATTAACGGTGTTGTATCAGTTTCCATGCGCGAATGAAGGTGCCTGTCACACCTCTAGGGTGGCAATTCGTGCCACTGGCTGAGGCGATTTCAAGGCAGCATGGGCGGCGTGATTGTGCGCCCACGAGGCACCTATCCTGTGGCGCATCTCGCCCCTCGCTGGCGCCCACTAGGGCCACCGTCAGGGCCCATCCCATAGAGGTGGCCACCCAGATCCGTTAATAGCGGACAGAGGTTAATTTCCGTTAATTTTCCGTTAATTAACGGAAAATAACGAAAAAAGACAAAAATTAACCAAAAATTAGCGGATTTTTGGATTTTTTGGGGATTTTTGGGTTTTAGTCATACTTATAGTTTATGGAATTCGCTATTAGAGAGTATGTTTGTATTTTATTTCAACCTATGCATACTAGATTTTCAACTAGCCGCAGTTGTTGTGATTTTTTGGGTTTTTTTTCGATTTTTTTGATTTTTTTCGTTTTTTCTGAATTTTTCTCCCTTTTTCTTTAACGAAATTTAACGGACAGCTGATAAAAATTAACGAACTGGATTTAACGGACCGGATGGCACCTTTGAGTGGCCACCTCTACCATCCCAGGCCACCACAGGTGGCACAAATGGGCAGTTGCAAGGCGCCAATCCCGGCGCCCCTCCCAGTCCTCGTGAGTAGCCACTCGGGCTGGCGCTCCCGGTCGCCCAGTACTTAAGTTTGTTAGGCCTCGGAACGGGCTCCAGACAAGGCGGACACTCGCCGGGAGCCCACCCGCAAAGCTCGCACAGCGAAAATGTTTGCGCGGCAGAAATTCTTGCAAAGAAAATTTTCGTGGGAGAAAAATTTTTGCGCACCGACGATTGCGCGAAAATATTTTTCGCGAACTTTTTACCCGCGAAATGCGCGAAATTTTTTCTTTGCGAAAAAATTTCGGTATATACAGTACCGTTTCACCGCCCCACAGTACTGCATCGCGCCACTGTACTCGCGGCCAGCGGGGCAAACATCGCCGGCCGCGCCGGTAACTTCCCGGTTCCCGCGCCCGTTTTCCCGCCCCCCGCGCCCCAGCCCTGAGTTCCGTCAGTGCGCGGGGCCCTTCGCGCGAAGTTGTTTGGGAGGCGCGCCCGGCGGGCCCACCTCACGGCACCTCAAAGTGCGCTGCACGGCCCCAACTCGGTCCCAACATCCACCCCCAGCGGGCAGCCCGTCCCCAGAACCCACCGTGGCGGTTCTGCCTAGAGGACGCTCTTTTCCGCGGCCTGCCTGCCGACCAAGCCACTCCTGACGACCGACAGGGGCGCCGGGGGCTAGAGCTGCGCCCCTCCGGGCCCCCCCCTCCAATCCGCCCCCACCCACCCGTGACATGCACGCAGCCTGGGCGCTGCCCTTTGTGCAGCAGTGGACGGCGGAGGTGGCTTGCTGGCTGCGGGGAGCCCTACGCGTCCTGTCGGGCGTGGCGATGGGCGGCCCCGGCGGCGAGGCCGACCGGCCGCAGGCTGGCGGCACGGCGAATGCCGTCGGCGGCGCCGCGAGGGTGAGCGCGCCGCGCCTCGGGTGACCCGTGGCCGCATCGCTGGTTGCTTGATTGGGGCACCTTTGGGAGGGGGCGATTGGTGGCCGCTGCCTCCTGGCTGTCGAACCGGTCTCCTTGGGGCCTCAACCACGCGCGGTTTAGTCGGCAGTGAGCTGGAGTGCCTGATTCCCCGCGTTCCCCCGCCCGCCTGCCAGTGATTCGGGGCGAGACTCGCGGCAGGGAGCGCGGGCTGCTGGGCGCCGATCGATTGTGATCCCGGGTGGTCAGCGAGATGCCGCAGGCGATGCGGTCCGATCAGTGAGCACGCTGGTTCGTCGCGGACTGTGCATTGGGGGCCAAACGGCCAGCCTTCGCATGTTCTCCCCCCTTATCTGTTGCGCGTCTGGGCACGCGTCCGTTAATAGATTAATTTTCTCGTTCTTCGCACGTTGGGTAGGTCGCCGGTTCACAGCGGTCCTCCCGTCGCGCTAGAAGACGTCTGCGCCGCCTTCTACTGAAGAAATTTTGCGGACTCCTTGCTTGAGGCGTGGCAGGTCAATGCATGGGCTGTTTCTTCATCTGCAGCAATCATTGGCCACTTGTGTTCGTTTCTTGCGATTGGCAATGCCGATGGTCGTGCAAGTGCTCGAGGAATGAGCAAGCGTGGCAGAATTGGACCGGTCTGCACCCAGCTATTCACATGTCATACAACATCACGCTCAACCTCCACCAGCGCGTATGGGCACCAACAATTCCACTGGCCACCTTTCCAATCGAGTGTCTGAAAGTCACATGTAGTCTCGAACGTTTCGCATTTGGGGGGAGGGTGTACACTGCCTGAGTCCTTCGTCCCGTCCTCAATGGCTTGTGTCTGCCCTCTGCAGGAACCAGAAGCATGTGTACCCTCATGGGCCGACCTCCCCATGGACATTTTCTTCAGAGTGATGGCCTTCCTTCCACAGCACAGCCCAAGCCTGGGCAGCATGCGTCTGACCAACGCCCACTGGCGCAAGGGCGTCAGTGCCGGACTGCAGTCCATCGTGTTGAGGGGTCAGGACCCAGAGGGTGCCATGGCATGGGTCGCTGATTCCCACCCGCTCCTCACTGTGTTGGACGCAAAGGCCATGGGCCCCAGCCTGACCAATGCCGCCCTGGCACATGTCTCCAGCCTCTTCAAGCTCACCAACATCAGCTTGTCGTGCTGCAAGCATGTCGATGGCGATGGCCTGAGTGCGTTGTCCGGCCTGACCCACCTCACTTCGCTGGAACTGAGGGAGTGCACTGGGCTAACAGACCTCTCACCTGTGGGTCCCCTCAGCCAGCTCAACCACCTGGACCTGTCCCACTGCGAGCAACTGACTGACGATGGGCTGGGCCCGATCTGTGGCCTTACCTGCCTTCAGAGCCTGAGTGTGTACCGCTGCAGGAGGGTGTCCAATGCTGGGCTCAACGCTGTCTCCGGCCTCACTGGCCTGACCATGCTTGATGTGGGGGGTTGCGAGAGGGTTAGCCATGAGGGCCTGTCTGTGCTGGGTCCCCTCACTGCCCTTGCCAAGCTCAGCATCAGGGCTGACCCGATGAAGTGGGACAGTGATCCCATAGGGGTGTCGGGTCTGCAGCACATCACCCACCTCACCTCCCTCAAGTGCCTGGACCTGTGCTGGAGGTACAGGATCACCAACTCTGGGCTGGAGCGCCTGTCTGCACTGACAAACCTTGAGGAGCTCCACCTTGCACACTGCCGCCGAATATCTGACCAGGTATTCCTTGCACTATTCGTTGTTGCCTGCCTTCTCCACGCAAATGCAGAGCATTCATTTGTTGTAAATCTCACTGCTCAAGTGGAAAGGTAACTGCAAAGGTTTTCCAGGAGCGATGGCACTCAGAATTCCCTGTCTGAATTGTGCGACTGATGCCACACTCTCACAGACAATGCCTGTCAAAACACCTGGCCCACAAGGGGGCACGTGGCAATGCAATGCAGCTGATTGTTGCACCTATTCTCTCCCTTGGGCATTTGCACAGTCCAGCTGCCAAAAGGGCAGTGCACCTGGCGAAATCATTTGAGAGGATGTTGTTTGTGTGGATCCATGACCAGGGCGTCTTGGTGCTAACGGCAAGCCTGACCAACCTCACTTCGATCGACTTGTGGGGCTGTGTGAAGATAACAGACTCCGCATTGGAGGGCATCACTGCACTGAGGGCCCTGAGACACATTGACTTGTCGCAGTGCCACCGAGTGACAGACAAAGGGGTGCCCAAGCTACGCAAGCTGCCCAAGCTCGCTCATCTCAATGTGTCTAGGTGCACCAAGATTACAGACGTCGGCCTTCGTGTCCTTGACGATCTCACATCTCTGACCAGGCTTGTGCCACCGTGATGGGAGGTAGAACTTTGTTACAGTTGCATGTGCTGTATTGGGTGAATAGAGCCCTCAGTTTCAACTGTTGTCTATCGAAACATGTGCCCATTGCACTCTGCAGGGGGATTTCGGGTATGATTGAGGCCTGTATGGACAGAGGGTGTGCTCATTTCATGCCCGTTGACATCTGGCCTGAGTTGGCAGGGGGCGCATGGGACAGCTTGAGCTTTTGGGACTCAAGGACTGTGTGGATTTAGGAGTGTGGGGTTCAGGCATCGGATATGGACCAAATTGGGCTGTTGCTGCTGAGCAGGGGCCCCGATGGCAGATCCTGCTGAAAAGACAGGATTTCCAGGTCCGATAACTAATTTCCCCATTGATGACATTCGACCCAGAACTATGATTCGCTGTCCTGTCGACTGTTAGGCATTGTTGAGGGCAATTCGCGCAGTCGTATACTGTGAAACTATTGGGAGGGTGTGGTTTGGCCTTGGTCGAACTGCACTGAACAGTGGTCTGCAATTTGGTGGTACTTGATTGCCTGGAAGAAAGGTGTGGACGCTGAATATGTGGGAGCGCTGACTCAAATAGTTTGTTCTTGTGTTTTCTTGCATTTGCAGTATCCTGAATACAATGTTAGCCAGAATGGAAGCTGTTTCTGAATGGGATTAGAATGCTGAGGGATTGGAGAGGGCCAGTCTATGCCTTTGGGATCTGTAAATAAATGTAGCAGCTGGTGTCCCTTGTTGTTTGTGCAGTAGTAGGGCCAAAGGGGACGAACTGTGGCAAGTGCAGGTGCTTGTACCACTACCATTTAGCAGGGATTCTTTAATGGTGACTTTCATGACCAATTTTCAGCTCGATTGTGGGGGGCAACTGCAATCTTTTGGGCTCATCTGGGACTCCCTGGCAGCCAGGCGGCTAAGAGCATGTGGATTCAGCTTGAGGAGTGTCAGCGACATCTATCCTCAGGGCGTTTGCCAAAAGTGGACGTGGGTGCGGCATTTGGAGCCTGTGCTCACTGTGGGGTAGAGTCGCCACTTGAGAACAAGTTGCATGGCTGTGGGGCTGATTGATCTGCTGGCTGATGGCGATCTTTGTTCAAGGTATGTGATATTTAATTCTGCCTATGGGATGGATGGACATCGTGCCGGACAAAAGAGGATGAGATCGGCAATCGGCTCACCTCATCCAGTGGAATTTCAAGTTTTGTGAATTGCTGGCGTGTTTGTTCTCAATTCAGTGAATCCAACGGGTCAACATTATGCAATGTGCGAAGTCACTGTACGCAGCATTGCTCATCCCTGAATATGGGGCTTTGACCCCTTGAGCAGTTCAGAGACCTTCTCTGTGGTTGTTTGCCATCGAAGGCACATAATGCTGGCTTGCAATTGATGTGAACATTCCCCAGGATTGAGGTCACAGGTGCCACCATGCTGTGCCTCTGCAAGCAGAACTTGTACCAGGCTCAGCAGGAACCCTGTGGAGGATAGTGGACCCAAGATAGGATTGTCCGATGGGCTGCATTCCCACAGTCTGAATGTATCCGCCATTTTGGGACAAGACAGGGCCTTTTGCTCCTTTCAGGCGACGTCCAGCGATCGGTGAGGTCACAGCCGCATGCATAGACCCTAGTCACGGAAAAAGATGTGGGGTTCGAGATTTTATGATATTTCAGTGGTTGTGGCCATCCCCTGTGCTTGAGGTGCGAGCAGCGCCCCCCACACACAGACAACCTTGGTTGTGTCTGTGGGAGAATGAAGTAGGGAGAATATCTTTTGCAGCATTGTGCAATAAATGTTGGAGCGACTGGGGTGGCCATGCCGACTCACTGAGTGCGCCACAGCAACAAATAACGATGAGCTTCATCCTCACAGGATGGGCCAGGAATTTGTTATAGCGCATGTGTGGTCCCAGCTCGCAGGGTTTGGGACAGGGGAGCAGGGTAGCCGCCAAATAGCTGCACTCTCAAGGCGTGCAGATATGCTGCTGCCTGCAATGCTCACTCGCAAATAAGGACCATCTTGCACAATAGATGCCTTGTTTCGATGTTGCTAGAATGCTAAGGACTATGTATCAGTCGAATTGTCTGCTATGTGGTGCCATTGTAACGCATGGGACCACACCGTGTCGATTTTGGTGACCTTCAAGATTTCATGGTTTTACACTGTGCACAACGGCACCAAATCCTGGATGCGAGGACATCGTGCCGTCTTGCACGGTTCAGCGACCGCACACAAGGGATATTCTGTGCGCCACCTTCCCAAGTGGCTTCGGCACAGCCCAAGCCGCACATCTGCCCCGAGGTCTCGTTATTCCCCAAATATCCCTTGGATATCCAACTTGCCCACCTCCCCTGAGAGCTCGTTATACCCCAGATATCCCGCAGCCAATCCAGTGCTGCACGCGAAGCACAGGCACCAGGAACATGGTTTTGATGCAGCATCCGTCGCCCACAGCGCCCAAAAGCCCCATATGCGAAGCCTTTGTTCCACGTGCGTTGCTGACAAACGCAACCAATGAAATTTAAAGAAGCCCAGCAAAACCTGGAAGCCTAACGGGAAGCCGCCCCGGGCAACAGCGCATCCGGGTGCGTGCATCTGCGTCTGTTCAGTGGATCTGCCATCCCTTCAAGATTACTACCATTACTACGCCACAATCGTCCGTGCTGATACGATGTGCCGTACCCCGCGTGTCAGCTTCCCAACCAGAAAGCGTAGTACACGTTGGCTTCCCAGACAATATTTGTGCGTCACTTGGTGAGGGCCCTTGGCGTCCACACATGCTGATGCATCCCGGAACGCCCTCAATCATTGAAGATCCACATCAGCGCGGCTTTACTTACGCCGGGCGCCTCCCGCCATCAACTGCATCCCTTTCTGGTGCTGCAGGGTATATTCGCATCCTGTGGCCTGACAAGCACGTGACATATCCCGCGGGCTGCGGCACCCGCGGGGTGAAGGATGCCACCGCTGCCCCCAAGCCTGCAGCTGACCAGCGTGAGACCCACCTGCACCGGCTGTGCCTCCCACTCGCGAGAGGTCGAGGAGGAGGGGTCGCCGAGCAGCCGCGGTGGCGGGGAGGGGGGCCCGGACCGGAGGGCCCAGCGGGGGGCCGGGATGGCACCGTCGGAGCTGGCGCCACCTGGCTTGGCGCCCGGCGTGGTGCTCCTGCAGAAATTGAGGGGCAGCCGGTTCGGATACGGGTTCTACCAGGGCATGGTGCGCCTGGGAACGGCCCCCTTTCCTCCTGGGGTGGGAGTGTAGCGCCCGAGGATGTGGGACGATGTGGGGGAGGGGTGGGGTGACCTGGTGAAGGCCGGAGGGAGTTTGAATTCTGGGCGGCCAGGGGCGGCATTTTGGCGCCGCGCTTCGGGCCGAGAGGGCGGGGCATCGGAGATGGCCGCGCGCGCGGTTGCGGGCTGGGATCTGGAGTGGGAGGGGTGTTGACGGGTGGCTGCGCTCTGTGGCTGTCTAGGCGCTGGTCCTGACGTTCCTGGTGTACATGTCCTACCACGCGTCCCGGAGGCCCATCAGCATCGTGAAATCGTGAGTAGTCTGAGCCTGACGGCGCTACGTCGCGTGGCATCCGGGCGTCGTGCCGCATGGGTGGCAATCACGTGACGTCTTTCATTGCTTCTGTCAAAGGAGTGTGACGCGCGTAAGGGGGATGTGCCTGCCGTGCAACGGCCTGGTGCAGCGGCAACCTTGCTCGCTGCGGCTGCGATTGGATCCGCTGGACGCCGTTTGGCCGGGGAAAGGGACGCCGCTTAGGATCTGTCGATGAGAATGGGGTGTCCCCGCGCTGCAGGGCGCTCAACCCGACCGGCAACACCGGATGCTGCGGGGACGACTGCGACGCGTCGGGCGTCCAGGCGACGCTTGCGAACGGGACGGACGCGACGGGGGTGCCGGGGGCGCCGACAAACGGGACCGATCCGGCTGGTGGAGGGGATGATTGTGATGGCGGTTGGGCGCCTTTCTGCGGAGGATGTGGAGAGGTGATTGCCGCCGAAGCCCTTTATTTGAATTTGCCTTCGAAAGGCGAAACGGGGAGCTTGCCCCTTGCAGGCGATGACGGCTGCGAGCGGCGTGATGCCCTGGGAGGGCGAGGATCTGACGATGATCTATGTTTGCAACCTGGCACGAAAGAAGCTGAGGAACAACCCATTGCAAACCAACGGCGGGCATTTGCAACATCTGTCGCTGGTGGTGCTGGCCGTGCTTTCGCTGAGCCTTGGATTGGACGTTTGCTAATAGTAGAGAGGAGGTTCACAGAATTCTGCCTCAGGAAAGGGTTGATCATTGTGTGATATGTCTCCCGTCCTGTTGGAAAGGCAGTTCTGTGGACGTTGGCTCAGTTTTCTTTCACTTGTGGGCTCACATTGCTGCTGATTATACACCACTGAATGTCTTCCCACGTTTTATCTGCCGCCGCAGAGCGTCCGCTCCTTGTTTTTGCTTGTGCCCTGAGGTTGCTGTGCGGTCCGTTTCCAGAGCCGGCTTGGCTACTTGGACACAGCCTTCCTCATTTCCTACACCTTCGGTGTCATGGCTTCTGGTCACATCGGTGACAGGACGAACCTGAGGCATTTTTTGCTTTTCGGTGAGGATTGGTTGTCTGTTATTTGGACTGAGGAACACAGAGTGCTTAACCTCAGCTAAACTTGAAATTTTGGGGAGGTTCGCTGCCACCTGTGGTTGAGTCTTAGTTTCTCAATTCTTTGATCATTGAAAGTGTAGTTCAACTATGCACAGTCCTTGCTAGATTTTGTGCCATTGTTGAGGTCCTGAGGGTGATTCCTTCTTCCTGGCAGGAATGGTTGGCAGTGGTGTGATGATCTCCTTGGTCGGGATGGTGAGTGTGCTGGCGCTCACTGTTGCCTTTGTCTCTGTACATTTTGGTTGCTTTTACTGCGCTTTGACCTGTGCCTTGTCCAGGAACGAAGTGAGCGAGTGCTGACATCGGCACTCCCATGGTGCTTGCAGGCATATTTCTGGAATATCCACAGCTACAGCTACTTCTTGATTTTCCAGGTGAGGCTACCTCTGAGCTGGCCTTCTGAGGTGGCAAGGAGCAGGTTCCACCTTGTGCTCCTGTGTATGACTGCCATTGAGTTCATGGATGAATTTGCGCAACTCTTTGAGTGTTTGCATTTTCTTTGTGGTCAGCATCAGTGCTTGGTGTGGTCAACACTGTGCTCTGCTGCCTCCAGGGCTTGACAGGAGTGTTTGAGGGCACGGGATGGCCTGCCGTGGTGTCAGTGGTTGCACATTGGTTTGGAAAAGGTCGCCGTGGTCTCATTATGGGCATCTGGAACTCGCACACTTCAGTTGGAAACATGCTGGGCTCCTTCCTGGCAGCTGCTGTGGTGGACCCCGACTGGGGGTATTCCTTCCTTGTCCTGGCTGCTTTGATTACAGGTTGGTTTGATATCAGTACGGCTGATTTAGGGAAAGAGCTGAGAACGTGCAAAATGAAGATGAGAACAGTGGAATTGCATCATGCAGAGGCACAAACATTTTCTCTTGAGTTCTGTTGCCTGTTGTAACATATGGCATCACAGTGCCCTTCGTTCTACCCTTCTCTTTGGCAGAGAATGTTGGCCTTGTACGTTTAGGTGCTGGCTTGTGGAGCAGCAGAGACAGATGGGCTAGTTGTGCCATCAGTAGGTTTTACAATTGGAATGTGCAAGAAAGGAAAGAGTTTGTGTCAGGCACAATCACGGAAATGGGAATAGGGGTATTTGTAAGGGCACCAAGAAGAGTGGTCTGCAGTAATTGGAAAATGGTGAGAAAAGGAATTGGCAGTGTCCGGAATGTCAAACTCGTTTGTAGCAACAGCCTTGTTCCCTGCAACTTAAGAGCACCTGTTTCCTGCAGCTGGGATGCGGGTCAACCTTAAGGGATGCAACTAGCAGCGTCAACAATAGGGAAAAATGGTGAAGAATTGTTGCCAAACTATCATCCAATGCAGTTGCTGCGAGTGTGTGAGGACCGATTTTGAGTGTGTCATGCCTCTGTCAGGTGTGGGGGTGTTTACATGGCTCTTCCTTATTCCGAGTCCTTCTGACGTGTTTGAGGCACCGGGAGCTGGGTCCTATGTTGCCGGAGGTGAAAGGGTGGAGGACGAAGAGCAGGGCAACTATGAAAGGGCCCCAGAGCCGGTAGGTTGCTATTGCAAGGGTCTGATATTGAATGAATGTGTGGGTTTGTATTTGCAGGGTGAAATGGTGCACTGGTCCTGCTACACTTCATCTTTGAAGTCAAGTAGTCAGATAGGCTTGCAATTCTTGCTGTGTGTGAAGACTTGGCTTTGAAAATAAAGGAAAACACAACATCATCGGTTGGGACAGTGTTGTCAGATATTGGCAGGCTGCAACCAGACAAGGTTGACAGATGCCACTTCCTGTCTTGAACATAACCAGAAGGCTGACTGGTGCACAATGGCAGGGCTCCCTAGGCTGATTGTTGTCTCTGTATGAACAGTGCAAACCATGTCTGACCCTTGCCAACCTTGCTTGAAGACTGCCATCGTCTGATTTTCCTTCCTTTCCTGAATTCCCTTCTGGTGTTTCACAGGACAGCCCAGTGAAGCCTCCGCCAAAGGGGATCAATTTCATGGCTGCATGGGCCATCCCTGGTGTCATGTCTTACTCATTTGCCCTCTTCTTCAGCAAGCTAGTAGCATACACCTTTTTGTTCTGGCTCCCATTCTACCTGCAGGAGAATAGGCCTGATTTAACATCCAAACAGGCAGGCGACTTGAGCATCTTCTTCGATTTGGGCGGCATTTTTGGAGGTATTGCTGCGGGGCAGCTGTCCGATGCGACTGGCGCCAGTGCTTCTGTTGCTACCGGATTCACACTCTTGGCGATGCCAACCATGCTTGCGTACCAGAAGCTAGGTGAGAAACAGGTTTCCTTTTTCGAGGCGTGATGTTGAGCGCTCTCATTGCAAGTTGAGGCACACAGTGCCTGTTCCGTTTCCATTGTTTTTTCTGTGGCTTTGTTGAACCCTCCTGCGAAGCACCAGCTGTGTTGACTTTCAAAGATAGACAAGTCAATTTAGCAACCGATATTCGAGCAGAACCAAATGTGCCCAGTGCTCACATGCATAGGAATTGGTGCCATTGTCTTGTTCCATGTCACAATATTGTCACCAACTTCGGGCACTGTGAGGAAGAAAACTGAGTACCATCTTGAGTTTTAAACCATATGGTTGACTGTATGGTATCTTGCCGTAGGTGGTGTATCTCCGACTTTGAATGACATCCTTTTAGTTGTTACCGGCTTCTTCGTCAATGCACCATATGCGTTGATTACCACAGCGGTGTCTGCAGACTTGGGGACGCACGAGTCCATCGCCAGTGAGTGGGCACCCCTACCGTTTGTGTGGGCTTTTTTGTGACTTTTGCTGATAGGTACTTGATGAATTGCTGAATATATAGTGAACATGGTTCTGTTAGTATCGCAATCCAAATGAGGCATGCAACTTGAATTTTGGTGCAACTGATTTGTTTGATTTGATATGTTTCAAGTTGATTCCCTCCTGCTTGATGCACACTAAATCCATTGCAACAGCTTGGGACCTTATAGCTTTCATGATGTATCAGTACTGTCCCTGCCACGCACCTGAGTGATCACGTCCCAGCTTGCTGAATTGATCAATGGTGGTGTGGTCACAACTGCACAGGCAATCGGAATGCACTGTCAACTGTGACTGCCATTATCGATGGCATGGGGTCCTTGGGTGCGACAGTTGGCCCGATGCTGACGGGCCAGATCCTTTCCAACAACACCACCACGGGGGCATTCAACAAAATGTTCGTGATGCTTTGTGGCTCCTCTCTTCTGGCGGGTATGCTGTTGGCTCAGCAAGTCTGGAAAGAGGTGAGCCCTGTGGAGAGCTTTGGCACTGCCCCTGCTTTCCAACACGGCTGGTCATGCTGTCTAGGGAAGCTGGAATTGCTGAGGGCAAAAACGTGTGGGAAGATACTAGTCAGGCAATGTTTGTGTGCTGGTAGAGTTTGTGCTGGCATATGAAATTATGGCAGTGTAGTGGTGTCTCATTGTGAACCAAATCATTGGGCTTCAACTGCAGCTTTTGTATAGTGTGGCGCAATGGTCTGAACCTGTGAGCGATGCCAACTCCATTCCTCTGGCATCTAATTGCCGAGCACAGTGCCTGCTGGAAGTTTGAAAGTTTGCAGCACTGCAGCCTGCAAGCCTGTGCTTTAGCAATATGGTGTTACAAGATTTCAGCAAGAGCTTCAGCATGAATATGTATGTTCCTGCAATCACATTCCATGCCACAGCAGCGGCACGAACGTGTTGCAAGCTTGCGACAAATTGTTGCAGATGTAGCCAGGCTTTGTCCAGCATTTTTGGCATAGTGTACCACTGTGGGATCTCTCGTTTGGCTGCATGTGGTAGTGCAGGCTGATCAAGCTCAGGAAACTGCCAAAGTGAAGTGCAAGGTGTGGGCTGGCAGTGTGGTGTGTCACACTGAGATCTCTAGCACGAGTGTGCCAATGTAACTAGTTGCGGTGTTTTTCTTTCCAGCACAAGGCTCGCAGGAAAGTGGTGGAAAAAGCGACTTCGTCGGAAAGCAGGGAGGCGGAGAGCAGAGAGGGAGAGACCGAAGCGCTGTTGCTGGGACAGTCGACTTGATGGCGCATCTGGCTGTGAATGCATGCGCCAAAGCATGCTGCGCCTATACGCATGTTGTGTTATGCATGCTGTGTTATCGCATTTTCTTCCGATTATGTAGACAGCCATGAGGTATCTTGTTTGCCTCGAGAGCATTGAGAGACTAGTACAGTGATGATTCTTTCCTTCCAAGAGGGTTCTTGGAGTTCTTTGTAGCGTAGTGACGTGTGCTCTGCGGCCATGCAACAGTCAGGTAGTTTGAGTGCGAGTTTGGGATATTGTTTATATTATCGTTTGCTGAGAGCAGCAAGCACCATGGGTGACATTTGACTTACAAACACGTTGTGCGGAGGATGGAATGCCTTGCAGTGGGCGGCAGTGCTGTGGGCGGACGGCTGCGGAACGTTGTTGGGCTGCCACCAAACATGACATTGATTGATTCATTTCGCTGCAAAAAGCACCCCTGCGCACAGCACTGATGGTGTTTGCAATCAGCCTTTCACAGTTGCAAAGCAACGCCCTTATACCAACCTGCTTTTGGAATTGTCTTGTGTGGTGCCCCCTGTTCCCAACTGTCATATATGGGTTGAATAGGCACTGACGAAGAAGCCCTGGGTAGACCAATAGGTGTGTGGTTTTTTTTCAGCTGCCGAATGCCATGAGCTGGCTTTGTTCTCCATGTGCTTGTTGGCTGCGATGCCCGATCCAAGACAACACCAAACGCCCAATATGCGATTCATGAAATTAACTATCTCGTTAATGGGTTTCTGCCAAGGGAGACGATGGGCTGGCTGCATCGGGGATTCAAACGGTGCAGTTTTTGGACCTGGGGTTTACGCAACCCCCGTCCCTTGGGCTTTCTGGTCACCCTAGCGCTGTGGGTCAGTTAAAGTACGAAAATACAAGGTGTCACCAACCTTGGCGCCCTCAGGTTTGGCGGGCTGTGGCAGGGCTGAGCGGGGGTGGTTATTTAGGCTCCCCCCTCGGTCTCCCTCCTTATCTTGTGTCCTTCGCACCACTTTGTTGGCACAACCCGAGGGCACTACCTGCCTTGCCCTCCCCGGCTGTTTTGGCCGAGCTGCTTTTGTGAACCATACACCCGCCGAGCGGTGGTTACATGACCAAGCAATTTGGTTGAACAATGTTCCGCCTACGGCTCTGCTAGACGCCATCTGGCTGCTTGACCCCGGTAATGACAACAGTTAGTTTTTAGTTGGGCATATGGTTTCCCGACTGGTTCGACGTCTACCAAACCTCCGATGGCGGGCAGCTTGCACAAGCGCTTGGGATGAACTCTGGCTACTTTCAAGAGTACCAAAATTGGGCGACCTGTGTCGCGTGGTAGTTCGTATTGACCTCCGCCTTTATCCAACTTCCGCACCCCGATTTCCCGACCCAATTATAGGACACCCTCCTGCTGTATGTTAATGGCTGGGTGATGAGCACAACCCACTTGCAGAGCCTCGTCAGGCTCCAAGAAGTCACGGGGAGCATAAGGGGACCTCCCTCGATGGGTGGTGGAAGGCGCTCTAGACCAATACACGTTGGGGTTTGTTGCTTTGGCACTGCCAATTTGGCAGTTCTGGGAACAACACATTGATAAGCCGCTCGAGGACATCCACCAGGAGGTGCTCTATCAGCAATTGAAGTTGGCAATGAAGTCCACCGCAACCCAACACCAAGCCCAACTCCACTAGCAACCTCCAGCTATGGCGCTTGTAGGCGCATTGACCTCTGGCACCCAGCACTTTGGGGGAAGCCCGAAGCCGCATCTAGAGCCCCCTGCAGCCCCCGAAGCCGTTCGTTTAGAAGACCTACGCTGCGCCCATCTCCGGGGCCATTTGTTGCTTGGCGACTCATCGATCCGATATCGGCACTATGTCTAGAGTCCTATGATGGATGCATACGGGGGCACTGCTGCAATGGGGCCCGGCGGCCCTCTGCCCCCTTTCAATCAAGGCGAATAACTGCGGAAGACTCCCAAGGAGTGAAGCGCATGGAGGGAGCTGTGCGATGAATACCCTTTGATGCAAGCATGCGGACACAACCTTCTTCCGACGCTCAGATTTCGTGGGCCTTCTTGATCGCCAAGCCTGCAGAGTATGGAAAGACCAAATTGCATTTGGTCATCAACCTTTGGCATATCAATCGCCCCCTCAAGAAGATCAGTCATGATATGAAAAGTTACAAGATCTAGGTCTCCTCTTTTAAAAAGGTGACTTTCTGGTGGGCTTCAACATGAAGAATGCCTATTGTCAGGCCATTCGCACTACCCGTCCGTGCTCACACAGGTCGCTCAAAGGCATAGGAAGCAAGCAGTGACCAGATGCATTACAAGACAGGCACATTGACCAAACAGTGTTCACAGGAAAATGTTCCCAATTACCCAATCACCGTTTCCCCCATATTCTAGAGGTGGCCACACTCGGGTGCCGTCCGGTCCGTTAAGTCCGGTCCGTAAAACTGAGTGTGATATTCGTCCGCTAATATCCGGTCCGCTATTTGCCGTACTGCCGTCCGCAAAATCCGGCTCTCATTTTTTCTTCACCGTTATTTGCAGTTAAATTAACGGATGACATGTGCGGCGCCCGGTCCGTAACAAAATATCCGTCGATTAATAATTTTGGTCCGTTATTACCCATAGGTACTTGCTTTCCAGCCACGGCAAGGCCAAGGCGAAGTTGCCAAGGGGTTTCCATTTTGCAGCAATTCGAATTATGTTGGTTGCATGCTTGATAAATGTGTGTGGGCGTTTTCCAGGTCATGTATTCTGCGGTTTGTAATACATGGAGTGATTTGGAGAACTGAACAACACACAAGCCGTGTGTAAAGTTCCAGTGTATGCATGCAATCCTGCACCACTTACTACGGCTGGTACTGCTGCGTACCACACTCCCATTGCAAGTCTTCCCGGCCATTGTAGCAAGGGTTCGGCATAGTTGTAATACCAAACGCGGACACACAAACACCCACATCACCTGAGGCAGGTGGCAAAAAGGGTTCACCTCTGAACACAATTGAGCCACTCAACATACTTGAGAATGGGTGATACGTATCACATATAACGATGGGTTGCTGTGGCGGTACTCCACAGTTTCCACGCCAGGGTAGTGAGTGTAAAGCCCATCCACCAATTGCACTATTCGATTGGACACATTTCTCACAGAAATTCTCTTCTATCTATATGATACCCTAGGTTCATCCACCATTCCAACATAGTACGCCAAAGTTCAACAGTTCAACATACATGAAGACGGGCAACGAATAGTACGAGTCGTGATTTGTTATCTTCCATCTCTGCCTATCGCACCCTCGCTGCGGCGGTACTCCAAAAGTTTCCACGCCAGGGCAGCGACTGTGAAGTCTATCCACCAATCGCAGTACTTGTTGGGACGCATTTCTTGAATAAAATTTTCTTCTATCTATATGATACCCAAAGTTCATCCACCACTCCAACATAGTGTATTCAAGGTGTGCACTTCAACACAGGACAACGGAATATTACAAGTCATGATATCTTATCTTCTATCTCTATGGTACCGCACCCTCGCTGCGGCGGTACTCCACAGTTTCCATGCCGGGGCAATGAGGGTGGTCACCGGTGGTGATCCAAACTTTGGAATCCAAAGTCACTACTTCCCTCCCTTCCCTCCCTTCCCTCCCTTCCCCCCCTTCGTGCGTCGATGCGCTAGCTTCTGCCGCGACCATCCACTCTCTGCCATCTGCCACCCTAGCAAGCTTAAATGATCCACGTTCTCGGGCTTGAGAACCATGCGCTTGGCCCGAACTATTAGACCGGCCTTGGAAAAAGATCGTTCACTACTGGCGCTGGAGGCCTGCAACACAACCAAAAATACTCAGTACTTCTCAGCCTGTGAACTTCATAAGGGCACTGTGGCATATATGCATAGCTAGTTGGCATCACAATAAAACCAAACTTGGAAAATGAGCATTCACTGCTGGCATTGGAAACCTGCAACACAACCAAAGATATTCAGTACTTTCCTTTCTTTCAACTCCATATTTCACATAAGGGCACTTTGGTATA